CCCCGAGCGACAGAAATCGTCGATTTCTATTGTGTTTTTCTATGTTTTCGGCCTCCTCGCCTCTTCGGCTTCCCGACGCTCCAAGACGGCCCAAGAAGTCCCCCGACCGCCCGAAGAGAGGACCCCAAGAGCCCCAAGACGGCCAGGAGGGCCCCCAGACGGTCCCAAGACGCCCAGGACGGCCCCAGGACGGCCCAGGAGGCGCCCAAGACGGCCCAAGAGGCACCCAAGACGGCCCCAGGAGCGGCTCAAGACGGCCCAAGACAGCCCAAGAGGCGCCAAGGCGGGCCTCAGACGGCCCCAAGACGGCCCAAGAGGCACCCAAGACGGCCCGAGAGGGCCCTAAGAGCCCCCCCGGGAGGCCCAAAAGAAGGCCGAAGAGGCTCCGAAACGGCCCCCACGAAGCCTTCAGTAGCTTCACCCCGGGAGGCCCAAAAGAAGGCCGAAGAGGCTCCGAAACGGCCCCCACGAAGCCTTCAGTGCCTTCAGAATTCCCTCCAGGAGCGGGGGAGCGGACGAGAGGCGACAGGCACGCCGCGCTTGCCCAGAGACCCCTCGCCACGTCGAGCTGATGTCGTGGACGGAGTCCACAGGTCTGCCCTAGTCAGCTACAACGCTGGGATCAGCGCGTGCGAGAAGGGCGGGCAGTGGCAGCGGGCGCTGGCGCTGCTGAGCGAGATGCGGGAAGCAAAGCTGGAGCCCGACGTCATCAGCTGCAGCGCTGGGATCAGCGCGTGCGCGAGGGGCGACCAGTGGCCGCGGGCGCTGGCGCTGCTCAGCGAGATGCGGGAGTCGAAGCTGGACCCCAACGTCTTCCCTTCTCTCCTGCATGGCCCGAGGACGCACTTGGCATCGCTCGGACGCGTGCATCTTTCCTTCGGCGAGGACCATCGAGGAGCATCCTGAATCCTCTGGCAGAACAGCCACGCACGAAACTGAAAAAAAGCACAGGGAATGGACGTCCGAGCGATGGCCAGAGCACGTGCGGGCAGGGAAACGGACCAAGTGCCGAACATCGGCCTCGGCGGGCCCCTTGTCGTGGCGTCGGCGGTCCCCTGGCGCGGCTTCGGCGCGGCCTGGCGTGCCCCTGGGCGGCTCGGGCACGCGTCGGGACGCCTTCCAGGGAGCGCCGCGTGGCCCCAAGACAACCCCAGAGACCGTCCAGACAGCTCGCGGCGGCCAACACATCTTTTTGCTTGTGGTCTTGGCTGGATTTTCGAGCCAAGAGCGGCCCAAGACGGCTCTTTCTTGGGCGCCCCCCGCATTCTCCAAGGCCGCCCAAGAGCTCTGGCAGGGCCCCAAGACGGCTCAGGAGGTCTCCGAGTACGGCTCCCCCAGGAGCCCCAGACGGCCCACGCGAGCCCTGAGACGACCGAGAGAGCGCCCGAGGGCTCACGGAGAGCTCTGAGACAGCCCAGGAGCCCCAATATCGCCCCAAGACGGCCCAATTGAGGCCGTCCAGACGGCTCGCGGCGGCCAAAAATCATTGATTCTTCCTATGGGTTCCGCCTGAATTTCAGGTTCTCGCGATTTCGAGCGGCCCAAGACGGCTCCAGGGCCCCCCACGAATGCTCCAAGACTCAAGAGGCTCCGGCAAGGGCCCCAAGACTGCTCAGGAGTGCTCCAAGACGGCTCCTGGAGGAGCTTAAAACGGCCGAGAGACCCAAGAGACGGCGCGAGAGAGCCCCCACGAGCCCCCAGACGGGCCCCAAGAGCTGCCCGAGAGGGCTCACAGGAAGCTCCAAGACGGCTCAACAGCCCCAAGTTGGCCCCTACACGGCCCCAGAGGCCGTTAAGACGGGCCGCGGAAAACGAAATCATTGATTTCCCAATGGTTTTTGACTGATTTCCACCTTCTCGCCATTTCGAGCGAAGACCGGCCCAAGACCGCCACTTCGAGCCAAGAACGGCCCAAGATGACGTGGACGAAGCTCACGGGCTCGCCCAAGTCTCTCCTACATGGCCAGTGGATCTGCGTGCGAGAATGTCTCAGGGCCTCGTGTGCACAAAATCGCCCCTTTACGCCACCACGGGGCCGAACGAATCGCTCAGGCCGGTCCCAGAGGCGCTCCAGAGGGGTCCCAGACCGTCCAAGAGCGGTCCAAGACGGCCTCTGGGTCCCGGGACGGCCCACGAGGGCCCGAAGCCTTCCGGGGGGGGCTCCACGACGATCCAAGAGGCCGCAAAGACGCCCCAAGATGGCCCCGAGCGCACGCCAAAGAGGCACAACTCGTCAAATTCCGATGGAAAAACGTACATTTTCAGCATGCCCGCATTGTTTGCTCCTCAGCGGCCCAGGACACGCCAAGAGGCCTCCCAAATCGCCCCAAGAAGACGCCAGCGGCCCCTAAGAGGGCTCCAAGACAACAAGAGCCCCAAGACGACGCCGGAGAGCCCTGAAACGGCCTCACAGAACCCCAAGACGGCCCCAAGAGAGCTCCGGGGGGGCCCCAAGAGGCTCCCAAGACGGCCTCAGGCAGCCTCCAGAGAGCTCCAAGACGGTCCAAGGCCTCCTGGACGCCCCGTGACGGCCCAAAAAGGCCCCAAGGCGTCCCAAAACGCTTCCAGAGCAGCCCCAAAAAACGTCAGAATGCCCGAAAAAGACCCCCCACAAGGACCACCAAGCAGGCCCAGATGCGCCTAAAAGAGTGATTGGTGAAGTACAAAGATCTTCTCACCAAGGCTCCCAAGAGTGAGACGCAGCGTAGAGAGCTCTCCCAGGCACAGCTCCCAAGAGCGAGCGGTGACGTCGGGACACCCTTCCGACCTCTCACACAGGAGCACGCACGCAGCACGCAAGCACAATAGATTTCCTGGGCTGTCCCCCGGAAGAGGCTCGGGGGGATAGCCCGGGAACGGCCCCAGAGGCGCCCCCAAAAACTTCAAGAGAAAAGGCCCCAAGAGGCCGCAAGACGGCCCAAGAGGGCCCCAAGAGGCCCCTAGGAGGCCGCAAGACAGCCAACGAGGCCCCAACAGGTCCCCAGGAGCTCGAAAAGAAACCCCGAGAGGCCCACTAACCGTTCCCAAGGAGACGGCAGCGCCCGCCATCAGGCTTCGAAGAGGCAACCGGAAAAAAGTCTCCAGACCCCTCTGGGTGACCTTTTTCAAGGCCCCAGGTGTTTTCAAAATTGACAAGCGGCGAGACGTACACCGCAAACCCACCATAGCCGTCTGTGACGCTCCGAAGGCTGTCTAGGCGGAGGTAGAGCGGAAGGCGGACGAAGAGAAGGAAGCGGTCCAAGAGGGCCTCCGAGACGGCCCAAGACCGCTCGAAGACGCCCCAGAAAACAAAATCATTGATTCTTCCATGGTTTCTGACAGATTTCCACCTTCTCGCCATTTCAAGCGAAGACAGGCCCAAGACGGCCTTTTCGAGCCAAGACTGGCGATGACGTGGACGAAGTCCACGGGTTCGCCCTGGTCAGCTACAACGCTGGGATCAGCGCGTGCGAGAAGGGCGAGCAGTGGCAGCATGCGCTGGCGCTGCTGAACGAGATGTGGGAAGCAAAGATGGAGCCCGACGTGATATCTTCTACAATGCCGGAACCAGTGCGTGCGAGAAAGGCGCACTGTGGCAGCTCGGCAAACAGGCCAGCGGGGCCAGACCCTCCCACATTGGCCCCGAGCGCCCCAATAAGGCCTCAGAAACGGCTTCAGAGATCCCGGACGGGCTGAACACGGTCGCAGAGACCCTAAGAGGCGGTGCAGGGTGCATAGCAGGCCAAGAGAGGGCCACAGAGGCGCCAAGAGAGGCCCCAGATAAATTGCTTCAGTTGGGTTTCGCGCGGCTTCGAAGTTGTCCAAGAGCCAGACTGCCCCAGACAGATTCCAAGACGGCACAAGCGTGCCCCAGAATGACGCAGGAAGCCCCCAAGTCGGCCCTAGGAATGCCCCAAAGGGCCCCCGGAGGCCCGGACGATGACCCAGGGGAGGCCTTAGTTTGCCCAAGACGGCCCCGATGGGGACGCCAAGACGGCCCAAGATGGCCCTGAGCGAGGTGAGGGAGGCGACACTGAAGCCCGACCGCATCCATGTTCTGACGCAGTGCGTGCTAGAGCAGGGTGCTATGGGGCTGGGACGTCTGGGCCAGAGCCCACCGAGAGGCTCCCAATGATGGGTCCAAGGGGGTCGGCGAGTCGGCACCAGGAGGGATTCAGAGAGCCCAAGCAGCGTCCAGAATAGCCCCAGACTGCCTTGAGACGGTCCCGAGACGACCCAACAGGGTCACCGGCGGAGCCCCCAAGCCAGTGCCTGCCAGCCCACAGTGGCCAAAGAGCTTCAAAGCGCTTCAGGTCAGCCCCAGGTGGCTCCAAGGTGCCCCCAATTCGGCCTAGAAGAGGCCCAAGGCGGCCTCCCCGTTCGTTCAGCCCCAAGGCGGCCACACGCATCGAAAACCTTGTATTTGGAATGTTTCGGGCCTCCTCGTTTTGACAGCCCAAGACGGCCCTAATAATGATTGTGCCATGTGCTACCCCTGAGTTTCACCTACAAGAAAACCTTATCAGCAACGCAAGTGGACTCGGCGCGTGCGATAAGAGCGAGCGTGCCATGCACGTGCTGTTGCTTAGCGACTTGGTAGCTGAGCGGTATCTTGGTAGCTGAGCGGCATCTCTTCATTCATTTAGCTGGGCAAATTTATATGCGAAGTCTTCGCTTTAACGGTTCAGCGTTGCCGTCATGGTTGGCCTTGGTTGGGTCCGACCGGATTCTGCAACTTGCCATCATGTCGAAGGTCCGATCGACTAACCGTCTGGACCGGCCCACTCGAACTCCGCCGTCAGTCGGAGCGTGTCGAGAGCGTCCTAGCGCGCTCCCTCCACGGTGTTTTGTCGCGTGCCATGATTCGCTATATTTGCCATGCCACGTAGCGATCAACGGTGCTCTCTTAGATAAGAGCTGTACAACGCGCATGCGCTGCAATCCTCACTTTTGCATCCGAGTGCGATCTCGTGGACGGTAGTCCACGGGTCAGCCCTAGTCAGCTACAACGCTGGGATCAGCGCGTGCGGGAAGGGTGAGCAATGGCAACGCTCTCTGGCGCTGTTCAGCGAGATGTGGAAGGCGAAGCTGGAGCCGGACGTCATCCATGTATCGAGCATTCTGCGTGTCAGAAGGGATCACGTGTTTCCCCGAGCCCGCGGTGCCTCCGAGGCTCCGCTCGAGGAGCGACGCCGTCCTGGCCAAGCAACGCCCCGCGCCAGCGCGACCGGGCTTCCAGAGTGCTCACGATGGCCTCCAGCAAGCGCTTAGACAGCTCACGAGCGCTCATAAGTCGGCCCAAGAAGTCCCAAACAGGGCCCGAGAAAGCTCCAAGAGGACGCTCCAAAGAGCAGCGAGAGGGCGCCCAAGACGGCCCCAGAGGAACACGCAAAAAACCCAAAGACGGCGAAAAACGGCCCGAAGACGGCCCAATAGGCGCCCAAGACGGCCGCCCACCACGGCCCCAAAGTGACCCCAAGAATGCCCCGAAGGCACCCATGACAGCCCCAAGAGCCGCCCAAGACGGCCCAGACGGCCCAAAGGGCAACGACGAGAGCCCCAGAGGGTCCTCATGAGTGCTCTCGGGCGGCTCCGAGCTGCTGAAGAAGACGCCCCGACGGCCCCACGACGGCTCCAAGACGCTCCAAAGGCCACCCCGACGGTCCAAAAACGGCCCCGAACCGCTCAAGAGGGCGCCCCGACGACCCCAAAACGGTTCCGAACCGCTGCAGACGCCACCCCGACGGCCCCAGGAACGCTCGGAGCCGCTCAAGAGGCCGCCACAACGACCCTAAGGACCCCCAGGGCAGGCCTGGAGCATCCAAAGACGGCCCTCGAGGATTCCCCAGGACAGCTCCGAGACGCAACAATCGCACCATCCCCACCGGAAAATTGACATGTGTGGCATACTCATACTTTTCGCCTCCGACGCGCCCACGACGGCCACAGAACCTCCCAAGATCGGCGTCAGATGCGCCCATCGGCCCACGACGGCCCAAGAGACGCCCAAGACGACCCAATAGGCGGCCAAGACGGCACACGACTGCCCCAAGACTACCCCGGAGGCACCCAAGACAGCCCCAAGAGCCGCCCAAGACGGTCCAAGTCGGTCTCCAGACGGCCCAAGAGGCACCGAAGACCGCCCAAGACGGTTCCGAGACGGCCCAAACGGCACAGAAACCCCACACAGCCCCCAAGAGGTTTTAAGTGCCTACGTACATATTCCCTCCAACGGAGGGGGGGCGTACGAGAGGTGAGAGGCAGAACGCAGGCCCGAACAGCCGTTTTCGATGCTCCGAGGGTCCACGATTGACGATCCAAGATCCAGGGCATGCAGAATCGAGGCAAGAAGGCGGAGGCGGAGCAGGAGGAGCAGGAGGAGGAGGAGGAGGAGGAGGAGGAAACCCGAAAAGGCCCAGAAGAGAGCCTCATGAGGATCCACATGACGTGCGGAACTCTGAACGTTCGCCCAAAACGGCCCAAGAGGAGCCCAGACGGCCCGAGAGGGTCCCATGAGGTCCCGAAGAGGCCCAAAACAGGACTTAAGAGGCCCTCCACCCCCCAGAAGGCCGAAAGAGAATTCAAAACTGCATCCAAGAGAGGAGCCCTTGCGCGCATGAGACGCCCGAGAAAGCTTCGCCTTACATACAACTCCAACAAGGCGGCCTCCCCAACGTAGCGGAGCACGTCCGACCCAATTGCGGGTTCTGTTAAGATGTATTTGAAAGTCACACAGTCTTGAAGTTCTCTTGGGCCCTCCCTGGAGATCTTTGCGAGCTTTCCTTGCGCCCCTGGTGGCGTTCCTCGAGAAACTCCCGTGCCCTTCCCCGGGCGCTCCTGAGGCGTCTCAGATGGGCTTCGACTTTGACGCACATGCCCGAAAGATTTCAAAACTGCCCCCAATAGGAGGGGGGTGAACGAACCGTGCGCCGGGGCCAAGCTGCTGGATCGTTGCGAGAGCTCAGACACGAAGGCGCGGTCTCGCTACCGCCGCCCCAGCTGCGGCCGAACTTAAATGTTTTCGGCGAAACCTCCGCGTACGATGCGAGAGCAATTCCAGAAAGATGTCGTAAACGGAGCTTACGGGTCAGCCGTAGTCTATACTACAATGCAGGGCCCCGCGCGTGCGAGAAGGGCGATTCTGGTCAAATGGCGTAGCAGGCCCAAGACACGCCAACTCCAGAGGCGCCCGAGACGGCCCAAGACGCACCCAAGACAGCCCCAAGAGCAGTTCATAATGGCCCAAGACGGCTCCACCGCCCCGTCTCCAAGACGGCTGTAGAGGCCCCCGCCGCACCGTCTCCAAGCCTTTCCGTTTGGACAGTCTCCAAGACGGTCTTTGGGCCGTCCGGGACGGTTCCAGAGGCGCCCGAGACGGTTCAAGAAACACCAAAGACAGCCCCAGTAGCGCCCAATATTGGCCCAAGATGGCCCCAAGATTGTCCCAAGATGGTCCGAGAGGCGCCCAAGACGGCCCCACATCGCCCCAAGACGGCCCAAGATGCACTCAAGACTGCCAAAGATGGCTCCGAGAGACCCACCCCCAGGAGGACGAAAAGATGCCCCCAAGCGGCCCCCGAGAGGCCTTGGATGCTTCTCTCTTGGGGAGCGTCGAGCTTCCAGCATCGTTTTGGAGGCTTTTTGGACCCTTTGGGAGCCATCTTTGCGCTACTTGGAGACGTCTTGGGGAGGTGCGCTCGAAAAGTCGATTCGTGTCCTCGCACTGGGGCCCTTCTTAGGGAGTTCCGTCTCGCCGCCCTCTTGCGGGCCTAGGCCGCGCCCACTGGCCCCATTGTCACCACTCTGCCAGATGAAAATATCATTCGGCCCCGGCGAAGAGCAGATAAATTAATCACGGCTACCTTCCCCGCAGAAGCTATGATAAACACAGACTGCGGCGTCAGAAACACCTTCTGTCCACACCATGTCATGCCCACATGGGTGTGCTTCCACTGACACCGCGTCCACCACTGCGTTCCTGCCTTCAGGCCTGCTTGCCTGCATCCCTCGCCCACCTTCCCCTCCAGCGGCCACCTCCTCTATCCACGCCGTCCCCTCCAACCTCCCTTTACCGCGAGGCCCCAGAGACGCTCCACTTCCACGTCCACGCCAGGGTGAGCAAATTCCGCGGCCGGAGGCCGCGGGTCAGCCCTAGTCAGCTTCAACGCTGGGATCATTGCGTGCGAGAAGGGTGAGCAATGGCAGTGGTCGCTGGCGCTGTTGAGCGAGATGCGGGAGGCAAGTCTGGAGCCCGACGTCATCAGCTACAACGCTGGGATCAGCGCGTGCGGACAGGGCGAGCAGTGGCATCGGGCGGTGGCGTTGCTCAGGGACATGTGGGAGGCGAAGCTTGAGCCCACCCAGATGCCGTTCCAAGAGAGGCGCACGACTAGCCAAGAGGGCACCAAGAGGGCGCCAGGGAGCTCCAACACAATCCAAGAACGCCGCAAGGGGGCCAAAGAAGGCCCAACAGGCCCCGAACACGACCCCAGACGCCTCCAAGAGGACACTTTTTTTTTTATGTTTTTTTTCTGTGCTTCTGTTTTTTGGTTTTTTTTTTTTTTTTTTCTTTTTTATTTGTCTTTTTTTGTTTTTTTTTTTTTTTTTTTTTTCTGTTTTTTTTTTTGTTTTTTTTTTTTTTTTTTTATTTTTTTTTTTTTCTTTGTATTTTTGTTTTTTTTTTTTCTTTTTTTATTTTATTTTTTTTTTTTTTTGTTGATTTTTTTTTTTTTTTTTTTTTTTTTTTTGTTTTTTTTTTTTTTTTTTTTTTATTTCTGATTTTTTCTTTTTTGTTTTTTTTTTTTTTTTTTTTTTATTTTTTTTTTTCTTTTTTTTTTTTTCTTTTTTTTTTTTTTTTTTGTTTTTTTTTCCTCTTTTTTTTTTTTTTTTTTTTCTTTTTTTCTTTTTTTTTTTTTTTTTTTTTTCTTTTTTTTTTTTTTTTTGTTGCTAAGCGCCTTCAGTAGCAAAAACATGAAGCCCCAACTGGTTTGCAAACGATTTCCGCATGCTCGCTTCTTCGGTCCTTGGAACCCCCAGCACGGCCAAAGAAGCCCCCGACATTGACCCAAGACGGCCGGCTATAACCCCTCGTGAGGAGCCCAAACGGCACATAATGGTTCCAAGACGACACAGTAGGGCTCCGAGACGGCCCGAGAGGCCGCCCAAACTGTCCCAAGACGGGTCCAAGGCGGCCCAATAACGCTCCAAGATGGACTCCAGGAGCCCCCGAACTTCCCCGGACCCCTCCAAAACAGCCCACAGTGGCCCGAAGGCCGAAATGGCACCAGAACGCCCAGGAGGATTGGATCCCCAAGAGACAGCCAAGAGGCCCCCGGCAAGCATCCCGAGAGGCGCCCCCTCTCGAGAAGACTCCCAAAAGGTCCATCCCCCTTCACGCCTTCTTCCTCCTAGGCTTTCCCTCCTCCTCGCCCCTCTCCCAAGGCCGTCGCTCCTCCCTTCTCGCTCCTCGCTTTTCGCTGATCGCTCCTCCCTTCTCACCCCGCCGTTCCCGATCGCCTCGATCCTGACTCAATCCTCCCCTGGCAGCAGGTTGCGCCAGCAAGCTGAAACAGCGAGCAACAGCACCCCGCAGTGTCAAGCAGCAGTAACGAACGACAGCAGCACGCAGCGCGAAACAGGCAGCAGCAGCGGCAGCATTACAGGAACGGCAAGCAGCAGCAGGCAGCGGGCTTCAGCACGCACCAGGCAGAGATGGCCACCACCAGCACCCTGCAGGCACAAGCAGCAACAACACGCAGCAGGGACAAGCATTACCAACAACGCGCACCAGCCAGAGCAAGTACCAGCACGCAATAGCATGCGTGGAATGTGCGGGTCGAGCCCCACGTGGCATCATTCCTGCCTCCCGGCAGCATGTCCACAATCACATGCCAGTTTGTGCAGATTTCGTGCGCGCAGTCCGGAGGTCAGCCACAACTTACCTTACCTTCTACGGCCAGGAGCCGCGCGTGCCCAAAGGATAGCAGTTCCGAGCAGCCAAATCGCTCCCAGCGGGCTCCGGCGGGCCTCCTGACAGGCCCAATGTGGCCCCCAGACGGTCCAAAACGTCGCCAAGACGGTTTCACAGCGGGCAGAATGGCCTCCAGACCAGCCAGACCACAGGCCAGGATGCTCCTCAAATGTCCCGAGACGCTCCAGAAGGCCCCCCATGATAGCCCTAGGCGGCGGAAACTTAGCTCTTCCCAACGTTTCACCAGGCTTTCCAGGTTCTCCCCGCCCTCTTCGTCTTCGATCGTACCCCCTTGGAGGTATATCTTCCCTACCTGCCGCGCGTATTTCGTGCAGCCCCTACAACAGGGGAAGAGAGAACGGATGGAAGAAAGGGACAAGGGCGAGAAGAGGAGGATGGAGCACGAGAGAGAGTAGCAGGAGGGGGGCTGGGAGCAGAAAACACGTGGCAGAACCAGACGGGCAGATCGGGCGGGTAGACCTCGACGGGCGGGTCGGGAAGTCGGGCCCACGCGGCCAGGTCGAGCAGGCGGGTTGCTGAAGCGTGCGTCAGGAAGTCTCGAGCGATAGCGCGATTCCCAAGTAGAATGTCAGAAAATCCATAGCGAGAGCGTGATTCCTGAGTGTCGGACGGCGCGGCGTGTGAATAATTTGTGAAGACGTTCTACGCGAGAGCGGAGTCCTGCGTACATTGTGAGGAAGTCCCGCGAGAAAGCGCGATTCTTCCCCAATCAGTGCTTGCATTGAAAAGGTCCTTGCGGCGATTGAAAGATTTGGCGGAAGTGCCAGGCAGATTCGGTAGGCGGCCGGGTTCCCGGGTTCCTGGTTATGGGTTCCTGGGCTTTTTGTTGCTAGTTCGGGACCGATTTCGGTGGGCGGCGGGGTTCCCGGGTTTCGGGGTTCCCGGGTTTTTGTCGATCTCTTTATCGATCGGTCTCACCATCGATCTCATTACCCGCTTCTTTATTGTTGTCATAGTCGATTCCATTATTGATCGCGCGAGTGATCTCACGATCGTATTTTCGATCGATCTCACAGAATCGTGTGCACCATCGGTCTCACGATCGACCATATTATCGTCCTTACGATCGGTCCCACTACCGGTTTCACTACCGATCTCACAGGCGATCTCAACATCCACTGATGGTTTTTTCGTGTAATTCAGGACATTGCGAGGCAGTATCAGGCGGGAACCGTTGTTGTTGAATATTATTCCTTCTAAAGAATTATTATTGTTGGGACCCCTGGTGCGCGACCTCTGCGCCGCGCCTAGGCCGCAGCTACATTTTCATCATTTTTCTGCGAAAGCTCCAGAAAAGTGGATTGGTACCGGATCCGGTTTTTTGTTGACGCTCGTTTTCCCTTGCAAAAAACAATAGAAAATGAAAATTCTTGTTTTTACTTGATCAAATTGCAAGAATCCCTTGCAAAAAATAAGGTAAAGTGGATATTCGTGCGCGCAAGACGAAATCCTTCCAAAACCTTAGGTTTCGTAGCGATTTTAACATAAAAACATCAAAAACCCAATGGTTTTTTAAGAAAAAAATGTCAAAATGTCCTTCCGCGCGCGCTGTCCGAATCCCACAAAACCAATGGTTTTTCAACATTTAAGTTACATGAGCTCGCGCGAGCTACTTTTTCTTGTTCTAACATAATCAAATTTCAATAATCCCTTGCAAAAAATAAGGTAAAGTGGACATTCGCGCGCGCAAGACGAAATCCTTCCAGAACCTTAGGTTTCGTAGCGATTTCAACATAAAAAACATCAAAAACCCAATGGTTTTTCAAAAAAAAATGTCCAAATTTCATCCCGCGCGCGCTGTCCGACTCCAACAAAACCAATGGTTTTTCAACATTTATGTTACATCAGCTCGCGCGAGCTACTTTTTCTTGTTCTTACATAATCAAATTTCAACATCCCTTGCAAAAAAAAAGTAAAGTGGACATTCGCGCGCGCAAGACCAACAAAAAACACGTCGATCTCAGGAAACTTTTTTTATTTTTTTTTTTTAATTATTCTTTTTTTATATCTCGTGCTGAAACATTATATTCTTTTATTCTTGTGAGTGCCCAAAAATGTGACAACTTCCCGCTCTCTTGTCTCTCTCTCTGTCTGCTCTCTGTTCTCTTCTGTTGTCTGTGTCATGTATTGTATGTCACAATTGCAGGATGCTGGGCACACGCGCGCCCCGAATAAGTGACCAAGTTCTGTGGGTGTGTACCCCACGCCAGTGTAGTAGCCACGGTCGTCCGCACGCCACGAAGTGAAGTGTCCCCACGTCATAGGGCGGGAAGCTGGGTTTGGGTGGTCGCGAAGAGTCGTTTGGATATTTGGTAGAGCTTGAACTGCCCCCCCACGAAGTGGGGGTATTGTCTCGCGTCGCATGAAAACCCTGGCACTGGTGAGAACACTGAGCGTTCGGGTAAAATGATTGTTGTTGTTGTTGTTGTTGTTGTAAATCGGGTGCCAACCGCGCAGTTTGGTGGCACCACGGTTTTTATATAAAAAACAGGGTGCGAGCCCCGGGATAATTCTGAATTGGAAAATACAATGGTTACCGGAGGGGCGGGCCAACAATCGTTTTTTTGTTGTTGTTTTTTTTCTTTCTGTTTTGAATGAGAGTTCAGTCATATTATGAATACTCGTTCGCTTGTACCTGCTCGCATGCCATTTAACATGATTATCCCGAACCCTCTATACCCGCCATTTCGTCTTCGATCGCACCCCTCTTGGGGGCATAGTTTCCTTACCTGCCGCGTGTAGTGCCCCTCGAACAGAGGGGATGGAACACGACGGAGATTGGCAGGAGGGGGGGGGGTAGGAACAGAAAACACGTTGCAGAACCAGGCGGGTAGATTTTGACGGGCGGGTCGGGAAGGAGGCGGGCCCCTGCGGCCAGGTCGAGCAGACGGGCTGCTGAAGCGTGAGCACGAATCGAGAGGAAGTGTCGAGCGATAGTGCGGCTCCAAGGAAATCGTGAGAGAGGCCAAAGCGACAGCGTGATTCCCGAGGGTTGGAGGCGCGATGCGTGAATACATTGCCAGGGGGTCCCACGCGAGAGCGCGAATCCTGGATAAATGGTGAGGACGTCCCGCACGAGAGCGTGATATGGAAATTTATGGTTTGGAAGTGTCAAGCGGGAGCCGTTGTTGTAACTCGGGGGGCAGGGGTGTGAGTTCCACAAAAACAACAACGAGCACGTCAAGACCTAAGGCAGGGGAAGAGGGGACATATAGAAGGGAGGGGTAAGTGGGAGGGATGAGGATGGAGCACGGAAGGGCGCAGCAGGAGGGGAGGTGGGAGCAAAAAGCACATGGCAGAACCAGGTTCTCCCCGCCCTCGTCGTCTTCGATTGTGCCCCCTTGGAGGTATATCTTCCCTACCTGCCGCGTGTAT